TCAACCCTGAGCCGGTGAGATTTGAACCGCTGACCTGCTGATCTAGCAGTAGCCTGCAGTGCTGCATTTAACCACTGCGCCACCTTGGCTCACTTAGTGATGGTAACATAAATTAGCATCCCTTCTGCTCAGTTTTTATTAATTGCAGTGTCAGAAAAGAGCAGCAATTGTTTTACACAGGTGAGGTAGCTGAAGTCCTCAAGGTATTGCTGGACTATAATCCCCAACATCTTTTACCACTGTCAAAACTGGGGGAAATTCCTGGGAGTTGTAGTTAAAACCAGGAGAGAACTTGTTCTCTCTGCCAATGAGAGTGCATATCTTTTTTTATTTGGGCCGAGAGCTGCATTTGGTTTTTAAAAAGCATCTTCTGTCCTATTGAAGTTATAATTTTATGAGAAATTCTGCTTTCTGAGGATCATATCCAAAGCTTCTGGAAAGCCTGTTAAAGCTTTGGAGGAACCACATAACACCTCAGATTCTCTGTACCTATCTTCAGAGACATTTGCTCTAAGTTAGGTTCGCGTGAAACTTAAATAAATGAGGATTTGGAGGTTTTAGAATAAAAAAAGCACTAATGAAGAGGAAAAAATGCTGTTGGGGTTTGCTATTATAGAGTAAGTTTACGCCTAAGTAAAAGCAAACCCTATCATGCTTCTAGCGCTGTATCCTGCTAATTTATGGCAGTGTAGAATGTTCTCAGTGGTAACATGTATACCAAATATACTTGTGATACCTTAGTTTTAGATTATCCAAAAATTAGTTATTGATTAGTCCACAAAAAGCATATTTGTTTGCCTACGTATATGTACCCAACTGGAAGATAATTACTGTAATAGGAGAATAATCCAGGGTATATTTCTGCAAAATAGCAGATAAAAACAAACAAAAAATCTCTGGTTTTAACAGTGATATGCTAAACCTATGATGGCGAACCTATGGCACCTGTGCCAGAGGTGGCAGGCAGAGCCGTCTCTGTGGGCACACAAGCCATCGCCAGCTGTTCTTCTGGTTTCTGGTGAATGTGCACTGGCCAGCTGGTCTTCATGCGTGCCAGAGCACTGAAGACCAACTGGCCGGTGCGCATGCCGGAAACCCGAATACTAGCTGGTCTTCGGGTTTCTGGTGCTCTGGCGGATGCAAAGACCAGCTGGCCAGCACACAAGCGTGCTCCGGAAACCCGATGACCAGTTGGCCGGTGTGCGCATGTGCATTGGCTAGCTGGTCTTCGGGTTTCCGGTGCTCCGGTGTGCGCATGCATGCACATTGCAGTTTGGTGCCAAAAAGGTTTGCCA